GAGTTGTGCACCCGGCGGAGCCCGGTGCACCTCGCGCGGCCGCCGCTCCCGCCCTAGCTGGAGCCCGGGCCTGGGTTGTGGGGGGCGGGGAGAGGAACGGGCTGCGGCGACAGGGGAGAGTGGGGGGCCGGGTGGCCCCCGCAGCCTGGGGAAGTTCTAGAAGTGAGGGGGATGGGCAGGAACCCCGCATATCAGCCTTACTCCAGCTCGGCCTTCCTCCTGGCGCCCCTCCGCAGATGAGGCCGAATCGCCGGCCTGGGTTTGGGGCTTCACCCCGACCCCACCTCTGGCCCGGCCCGCGCCTCTTCAGCCCCCAGAGCCCGGCTTGCCTTCCGCCCCCACAAACTGGTTTCTCTGCTTTGCTGGGCTCTGTTGGAACTAGTCCCTTTGACTCCCCGTTTCAAATTTTTTTTCTGGGGCTTTATTTTGCGGGGAGGGCGCGGAGGGAGGTGGCTTTTCTTCCTCTCCCCCGCGCGCGCCAGGTTTCCTGCCCCAAGGCGGGCTTGGGTGCCCCCTCTGGCAGGAAGTGGGGCCGGGTGCACCCTCGTGGCGGTGCATGCGGTCGGGGTGCACAGGTTTCCCGCGCCTGCGAAAGCGGCCTGCGCCCCTCCCCCCACGCTCTAGCCCCCAGTCCCGCTGGCCGACCTGCAACCGCCGGGCGCAGACACTTGCAGAGTCACCCTGGGCCTCGGGTCTGCAGCAGGGACGACAGGGACTTTACCAGCCCCCAGAGGGGTAAGGAAAGTGGCGGGCTAGAAGGGTCGCCAGCAACCCACTCCACCCCGCTCGCCAACTTGCTCTGTGACCTTGGGCAACTCATCAGCCCTCTCTGGGCTACTATTTTGGGGAAAACAAGGTGGTTCCAGGATGATTTCCTCGAGTCATTCCTGCAGATTGCCTCAGCATTTGTGGAGCTCACACTGCGTGCACAGTGTGTGGAGGAGACAGGCTTGAGGCCTGAAAGGGCTTATTACCAACTGAAGGATTGAAGTTGGACCCTAAACGTGGCTTCGCCAAGCCAGGCCTCTCTGATGTTCAGAAACAGGTGGAAGAGACAAGCATTTGTTAGTCTCACCAGAGAGGGCCTCAGGCCTTGACTTCTCTGGAGTCCTGGATCTGGGGTTGGGGTGAGCGGATTAAAGGGTCCCCAGCAGCAAGAGGTGGGGGGAAACACCAGGGACACCCACCAGGATCCCCAGGCAGGCTGGCCCAGGCTTTATGGGATTAGGGGCTGGCTTTGCCCAACTGGAACCACCTCTCCGAGGGGGCCTCCAGCAAACCTCATGTGAGGTCAGCACTCATTTAGCTGATTAATTGTGATGTTTAGTTTTGAAGGGGGACCTGTGGTGTAATATAAGATTCTAATCACTACCTGCAATTACAGAGCAGGCCAAGCCACTAATGATGGAGCAGGATAAATCACCAACCACCTTGTTTAAAAGGGTCTTCAAGTCTGAAATATTATAAAATGGAATAATTACCAAAGTCCTGCTGTCTGGAGCATTTCAGTACTTGAGGATCGGGGGCCTTAGGCCCTCTAACAATCACAAGTTTGCAAAAACAGTCTTTCCTCTCATTGGGTTAAAATTGGAAATTGTCTGAATCTGAAAAGGGGAAAGAAAGTCATTTTCAAACGTTCTAGTTCTCATTTTGATCTGGAATGAAGCTTTCTGTTGTTTAAGCGTTTTTAACTTTTACCTGGTTTGATCCTTGCCGCAGTCAGGAGAGGTAGGTGAGGCAGGTGCTTTATCATTACCGACATTTTATAGATTGAGGGGCTTTCAGAAGTGGAGCCACTTGAACCCACCCTTTGCCAAGGGCAGCCAGGGATTGGTTATCAGGGAGGTGTGGAACCATAGGCCTCCCAGGACACGTCTCTATCTGTAACTTGGGGATAATAACAGGGAGGACAGGGATGGGGGTGCGAGGGCCCTCACTGTCCTTTCTCAGCCTCTGGAACAGACTCCCAAATACTCCTTGCAGAGGGGGGTTTCAGGTAAATTCTATATTAGTAGGGCTGATGAAGCCCAAACAGGCCTCTAAGGAGAGGGGAGATGCTAGAAAAGGACCAAGGAGCTTTTAGGATCAGTGCTGTTAGGGCTTTAGGGAGTCAGCTAGCATCTGTTACGAGGGCCCCTCTCAGTTGGACAAGTCCCTGCCCCTCGTGTAAGGAGGCATCAAAGAGAAAGATCTCATCTGACTCCAGGTGGGTGGGGGCGGGCAAGGGGGAAGAGGAGACTCACCTTTCAGCTTTGGGTTTCTTTTCCTCCTCCCACCTCACCCACTGCGGTTTTAACCCCCTTCACCCTTCTTCCCAAATCGTCCCCATCTTTGAACACCGTAGGCTTTTACCCAGGGAGACGGCAGCGGAAAGAACTGGTGGGGCTCTGGCAGATGGGCAGTACCGTGGACGAGGTGGGCCAGGGATTGATGTCTATGGCTGCCAGATGCCCAGGGCTCATTCTCTGCTTACCTTTCCTCTCTTGTTCCCTGCGAGCTACCCAGGCTTGGTTTTCTCTTGAAGAGAAGGGGCAGTTTGGTGGAGGGAGGGGGCCCTGGCAGTGTGAGGACCCCCATCTCACCCACACCGTTGCCAGGGCGGCCTTACCCACAGGCAGGACTGGGCTGGCTGGGCTCTTGGGCCTGGGCCCTGTGGGGCTGGCAGGGCGACAAAGAGCTGTTCTGAAGAGGAGATAAGGAGCTGATTAGGCCCAACGGCCCAGCCCCGCCCCGTGGCTGCAAGCTGGGCTGGGCAGATGCCCCCATCGGCCCAGGTGGGAATCGCGGGGACCCCTGGGAGCAGGCAGTTTCCTTCCGGGCATTTGGAGGGTGGGAGCGGTGAGGGGGTAGGAGGCGGCTAAAGCAAGAGGTTTTGTTTAAAACAACTTTTCCCGCCTCCCAGCATCCCAGCCGTCGCTCCTCCACCTGCTCTGCCGACAAGGGAAGATGAGCGAGTCGAGCTCGAAGTCCAGCCAGCCCTTGGCCTCCAAGCAGGAAAAGGACGGCACTGAGAAGCGAGGGCGGGGCAGGCCGCGCAAGCAGCCTCCGGTGAGTCCCGGGACAGCGCTGGTAGGGAGTCAGGTGGGTGTCCAAACCTTTGCCTCGGTTTACCTCTTTGGGCTAGGGAGGTGCCAGGCGTCTTGGCAGGTGAAAGCAGGACTGGCAGGGCGCAGCGTCATTCCTGTACACGTGTGTTCTCCCCACACACCCGTGCACCCCACACATGCATTCCTGCTGCCTGAGAGTC